CAAAATAATAGTATACCATATAGTATATATATAGCCAAGATAATATATATCATCATTTTGATCTTCCCTTTTAATGTTTCCATCCATCATAAATCTGGAGAAATTTTTTTTCTTCGCATTTTGAGAATCAGGTAGTTCTAAACATCAGTCATTAAGTGATTCTGAATATAAACTAAATAAACTTCTTCTCTGATAAACTCGTCGAATGTTAAGAAAGGAATTTAATTCTCGGTATCTTTAACACTAGATTGCCTGAGGAAGTCATTTTGATTGCTTCTAATTTCAATTAGAGAAACGATGATGTATATAATGACGCAATTTCTTAGAATTTTGTACAACACATAATATTTTTATTGTTAATATTTACTAATAACTTGTTATATGACTGTAAATAATATAAAAAATACTAAAAATAAATTAAAAATTTTTTTTTTACACATTGTTCATTCTTTTACAATCCAGTCATTTTGAATGCTTTTGGTCGATATAGGTATATACTAAGTTTCAGTCTTTCTAGTGTTAATTAAAGTACCATTAATTTTAGAATATTTTAATAGCACTGAGAGAAAAATCGTGTCTTCAAATCAAAACTTACTAATACTTAATATTTTTGTATAGTTTGATTTCTTAAATAATAACAATGTCTATTGACTTTTTAGCAATACCGTATGATTTGATAAAAAAAATTTAGTTTAATAAACCCGCTTGATGTTTCTATTATCAGTTGTTTGGAAAAAAAATGATCAAAGTATTTCAGAAGCAGTCAATTCTAAATATCATTTATTCAATGACTCTAAATGGATGTGAAATATTCGGAAAGCAAATGTGAAGGTAAAAAAAAAAAAAATGATTCAATTTAATTCCCAATAATTGAAAATTCGTGCGCCGAATGGAATACGAACATACAAATCATTTGTTTTGGTTTTCTAAACTGCTACAATATTTTAAAGTTGGGAGTAACCCTATTAAAATGTAATGTGCTCTACTTGAAAATAAATGAAGTTACCATAAAGACCCGGAATTAGATAATCAAAGAGCGTTTTTATTTTTCTACTTCTCGAACAGTAACGCCCGAAAAATGATACCCACCCGTTCGTATAACACCAAGTTCGATGATCTTGGACCAAACAAAAGAAACTAAATGAAATGAACCAAGTTACTTTGTCCGTGATGAGAATTTCATTGAATATATTTACTTTCAGAACCAAAACAGTTTCTTTAAAAAAAGTCTTGATGTATGATATAACAGTGAGACAGGAATATGAAATCGGATGGGTAGGTAGAAGAAATGAATGAAGGCTTAAATGAAATATGTGACTTGTAAAGAAATGTACCTTAATTTTTGGAAATATGGATGACATATTTTTGGTGTATTTTTTCCACAAGTGAATGAATGTCATATAAATTCGTTTAAGAACTGGCTTTACATTAAGTTTGTCATGTTTTCTTAATCATGGAAATGGTGCTTAAGATTGTAAAATTGATCGTAATTAAGAAATTCATTTCCCGGCGCAGTTGATGGACATGATTTTCTTTCTCTTCAGAATATTTTATCATCTTTATGTCTATAAATTATACTGATCTTTTATCATTTCTCTCTCTTAATATATATATAGGAGAGAGTTTTGCACTTGGGGCCCATTTTGCTTTTTTATCTTTTTATGCAGATTGGACTCATTCAAATAACTGATAGTTTGGGAGGAATACGTAATATAGTGTATTAATATAATTATTTTTTGAACGAATACTAGCATACATTTTAGCAAGAAATTAATTTAAAGTGTTTAAAATTGGATAAAGGTACAACATGGTGTTATACTTCTGACCATTGTATCACAAATACGGAACTCTATTTAGACCAATGCCAAACAATATTTTATTTGATTATTCCTATAGATTTACTAATAACTTGTGAGTTGCTAAAATTCTCTTTGAAAAAGACTTTAAAAAAGTCAATATTTGCTTTTTGCCACGGGTGCTTTAAATTTATAATCATGGTAGCAAATTTACTTTGTATGGATTTAGAGTTTTAAAATTCACTTTATCGTTTCGAGTTCTGAATACGAAGACATCGCCTGAAAAGTTACATCTGAAATATAACTAGTCACCCCAATACGAAGTGCGGGAACTGCTGAAGATTGACATAGTAGCAGACGATTATTTTCAAAGAACAGAATTTAAATTGCTGTTGAAGAAAAAAACAAAAAACAAAAACAAAAAAAGAGAAAACGTGAACCACCAATACATCATGTCCTTTTTCAATTTCATGCTTTTTGCCAACCTGGTTAAATATGACTCGTCAATTTTCAACTGCAATTTAAATTCTGTTCTTTGAAAATAATCGTCTGCTACTATGTCTTTGAAAATAATCGTCTGCTGCTATTTCTATCTTCAACAGGAACCATTATGTTTATGTGTTTAAGTGCTTAAATTAGTAAGGAAGAGTAAGCACATAATTCTTCGTTTAGTTATTAAATTTGGGTTTAAAATTGAAAAGACCTATTTTTGAGATCCATTTTCGTAATTGTGTATTTTGAGCTGTTTCCAGATTATATTGTTTCATTTAAAAAAATATGTCCCATACAGGTATAAAAAAAACTGTTAAAATTTGCACCCAGAAAACTAACTAACATTTTTTTTTTTAATTTTTCCTACTTCAGGCAAAATATCTCTTGGGAACATACTTTTTTTTGTCATAAGATTTATTTAAAATAAAGTCAAATAAGCAACAAAAAAAAATGGCAACACTAGATTGTGCAAACATTAAAAACACCAAAACGAAATATTAAAAGAGATTTGTGAAGCATTTAATGAATTTTACCTGCGAAGTATGAAAGAGGCAGAAATAGTTATTTTGTTATCCGATTCAAATTTCTAACAAAATAGCAAGGAGTAATAACAAAGCACTGTATTTTATTAATAAACTATATTTCCTTATCTACGTCAGATTTTGTGAGTATCCAACATTCTATAAAAAGGTTCATGTTTTTCAAACTTTTGTTTGACTATCGAAGAGTGGTCAAAAATGTTTTTTATTGTTAGGTATACAAGTTTTCATATTATTTTAACCGCTTCCCTGATTATCCCGAGTTAACTCGGGTACCTATATATTGCAAATATTTATCATACCGAGAAAACTCGGGCTTAGCAGAATTTGTCAGTACTTTTTGTTCTATCACGATTTTACTCGGTCGGAAGCAGAAAACATAATCTGTAGTGATTGGAAGTTTGTCAAGTTTCATTTGGGAGTTCTGATGTTGGACTGTGGAACTACACGCGTGTTTTGTGAGATTGCACATACGATGGTTTGCTGAATTTACATAGCAATAAGAGCAACAAAAAAAAATGGCATAATCCTTCACTGACGTTTGAAAAGTATCACTTTGCATTGTCCCTTGTTTTAAGATGTATCATACAAAGACTAATATTTGACTTTTTTCATTTGCCCGAAATGACTCGGGATAGTGAGTTGATTTTAAATTAAAGGTTTCTTACGCATAAAAAAATTCAAATTTCGACTTAAAACTTGTGCATTATGTTTTGTTTTAATTCATTGTATTTATTAATAAAATTAATTTTTTGTTGTTGATTTTTTGCATTTTTCTTCTTCAAAATAATTAGTAAGGAAAAAGGTTAAACTAAGTGTCATTTCAAATGGCAAAATTTTGAACGCTATCAATGAAATAGTTTCTATGTTAACTAACTAGACTAAAGTTAACCAACTGAATTAAAATAAAGGGAGTTTAGACGATGGGGGGATATGTTTGTATTCCTTGCAGTCCTACGTTTTTTTATTATTAATAAAAAATAATAATAATTACTTAAATTTGCATTTTTACGTAGAATTCTGATTGGATGAATGAATTGCATGATGAAGTGCAAAATTTTCTTCACTTAAGATTATTAAGCCGAGCTATGGCGGCATATGCAAGAAGTAAAAATATCATTAATTGACTCAAAACTTTCGATTGCTCTCCGGACTAAATTATTGTGACCACATTTTTCAGGTTGCGACTACTCCGCCTTATTTTGATAATGAAAATCCGAATCCGTCAAAAAATAGATATAATTATTCAGTCTACGTACGTTCTTTCTTTTCTTTTTGTTAAATTCCGTAACTTAATAGTTAGCGCTCACTTATCAGCGTATTTGAGGTCAAGCTATTGAACCATTAAGATTGATTTTTTCTCTCTCTCTAACATAAAATCATAATGGTCTAACACGGTTTTCCATTGTCGTCGGTGCATTTTTATTGGTCGGAAAATCACTAGGTAGGATCCAGCTTTCCCTCATTCATTTTTAATTGTTTTGGTTGTCATCAGCATAAAATTAACAAAAGTCGTAAAGGTTTTTCTCAAAATATTTTTGTATCCCTAATTTAACGTTACTTTCCAGTACTAGAACTCATTAAATTTGTTTGAACAATATAATGCTATAACAATATAAATGTTATTTTATACTTCGAAGATTCACTTCAGTTCACCAAGAGATCAAAATGTTTATAATACCAATTGATAGTAATATTTGAACGTGGGAAGTAAAGGCGCTAGCGTAAGCAAAGAGAATCCCTTTTATTACGTATATGTTAAGTGAATAATCTTAACTTTAGTAGAAAAACTGGTTTCTGCCAAGAAAAAACAATTATTGCGAAGCAATCATCGGAGTTGGTGAGCGGTAGTGAACAGGGGGCTTAGCTCACTAGTATTACGTGGAAATCCGCAAAGCTGTTAATGGTGATATCCTTTTATGTCTCACTGCGCCTTTGACATAGCACTTTTGTGTCGCACTGTGCCTTTGACATAGCACTTTTATGCCTCACTGTGCCATTGACATAGCACTTTTATGTTTCACTGTGCCATTGACATAGCACTTTTATGTCTCAGTGTGCCTTTGACATAGCACTTTTATGTCTCACCGTGCCATTGACATAGCACTTTTATGTCTGACTGTGCCATTGACATAGCCATTCGATAAATATCTTTTTTTCTTCTTCAGATGGGGTTTCCAAGATGCGTCCGACAGAAGGGTGTCCACAACTCCTTGATATTATCCATTCATGAGAGGTATGGAAAGAAAACGTAAAGGATACCTTCTACGAAAAAACAACTCCTTCGATAACATCAGATTTAAGAAACAGATCCCATCGAACGGCGAGCTCGTGTGCCTCTGCAACAAGAATGGTACATCCAGGACCTATGACCTGCAGACACAGACAGTGACCTTCGGGGAAGAAGAGACCTCATCCAAACCTAAGAAAAAGGTCTTCTCTCGCTCCTCACTTCTCAAGAAGTTTACGTCCGACGATATCCAGAAGACATCCAAGAAGTAAGTTCGTGAACACCAATGATGGATGATAGAAACTCTCAGTGGAAATTCGTGATAACCGTATCAAATCTTTTCTTTTTCTTCTTTTCCAGAATTGAAATATTTTATTTTTTGCGTTGCAGATAACCTTTAAGCATGCAACTGTGGATGGAATTTAGACTTTGGCCCATTTCTAATTCATCTTTTTTATTAACTCCCTTCCTTTCAATTTGTTTTAAATAATGAAATTAATTTTATCCGTATTGTATTATTTTCGTGCCAAAGAAGGCCTTTGATTTCATTATTTTAGTTATCCATCTTGACGAAATCAGAAAACGGCTTATTTAAAAAAAAACTGTAACCTACTTTTCATAAATCACTGTTTTTCCCTGAAAATTAATTTAGAAATGGTGCTATTTTTTGAGTTCATCACCTGATAAGAAAATTAAGAAATTTATTTTTATGCAAGTTTATGAGAAAAGTAAATCTAGGCTTTCTTTTCTGGTGTGATTGATATGACGCATTTGGCAGTTATTTAAATTGTAATCAGTTTAATCCAAAATCAGCTGAGCATATTTTTCGCACAGAAGGAGTAAAAAAAAATTGAAATGCTATTATTTGAGTTTATCTCACAAATGACGAAATGTATTTTTATGTAAGGTTTTGGAAAATGAAATTAGGCGTTCATTTTGACGTGATGGATGTGGCTAATTTAATAGTTATTTTACTTATAGCATGTAAACCTCGCCTCCTTTTGACAATTTTTCTTGGCCTAATTTTAATTTCTTATTCAGTAAACGCACTTTTAATTTTTTTCTTTCCTATGTGCTTTATATATCCTAAAAAATAATTGTCTTTTAGCCGCTTCGCGCAAATCACATGCTATAATTATTAATATTATTCTGCTTTTATTGCATTTTTTTTAATTATCAGTCAAAATGAAAGGTTCAAACCAAAAAAGTGGCGTTCCTTTTAAAGATAAGAATATTGAGTTACCATTTTACTATTATTAAATAGTAAATAAGTTTTTTGAGATATATTTTATGTAAAACTGTTTCTAGTCAACATATGCAACAAAATAACTATTTGAAATTGAAAAGCAATATGGAGAATAAACACTTGCAATTTTGCTAAATACTCTGTTTGGCGAAAATTACTATAACTTCAAGTCAACTGTACAAAAGCGATAAACACAAGAAATAACACTTTTCATAAATACTCTGCAGGGCGAAATTTTTTAACGAGTTTTTATAGTAACATTAAATTAAATTTAAAATTAAATTTAAAGAACAAAATAAGTTGATCGATGAAATTACAATGTTTATTAGGTTTAAATTTTCGCTAAAGGGAAATTAAATCTTTAGTATTTGATTAGTACGATTAAAAGGTTTGAGATCTTTTTATTAAATATTTTTTGTAACAATTGTATTTTATAACAACTGATTTCTGAGGGGAGCGAATAAAGACCCTTTAATAGAGGCAATAAAAATACTCATAAGTTTTGTTTCAAAATAAAATAAATAATCTTAGTTGTGCATTTATTCTGAACCCGTTCTTAAATATGCTTCAATGGATTATTTACAATTCAGTTGAGAGTGTTACATTAAGTTGGTCTCCAAGTTATTATAAAGTTCTACTTAATGGTCTAACAAATGTTTCGATGCTACCAACGAGCATCATCGTCAGTGCCACAAGTTTTGCGTTTTGACACCGATGATAATACTTGCTTGTTGAAGCCATTGTGGCTTAGGGAATAGAGCGTACTCCTTCCGATGAGATGAATCGAGTTCGAATCCCAGCTGCGTCTGGTCACGCCGATCACAGTGTTGACGCAAAATATCCTTAGTAGTCGACAGTTAGATGGGTTAGAGGCCCCTCCCTGGCAGGCTAACCGTGGGAGGTTTTCGTGGTTTTTTCTCTCCGTGTAAGGCAATTGCGGGTTAGCTCCATCAAAAAGTTCTCCACGAAGGCAAATTTCTCCCAATACTCGATCCAGGAGTTCCCTTGTCTTCTGGATTGGGTTCAAAATTACAGGGTTACGCAGTTGAACATTAGTGGTCGTAAACCCGAAGCTTGGGTCAGTTGTTCAACGACAGTTATAAAAGACATGGTCTTCTTTTTCGTCTTGTTCCCATTGGTTTTGATAAAAATATTTTCTTGCAGTTTCGGTCTTCCTGCATTCAGATTAAATGTCCAGTTCATTTTAGTCTTTGTACTTTTATGTACTTGACAACATCAGTCTATTTTAAGATTTTATACAGTTCTGAGTTAGTTCTTCTCTATAAGCCGTTTACCTCCTTTCGTGGTACCTTTATTCCAAATATTGCTATCGCCTCCTCGTCTTTCGAAGTCAATGTCCAGGCCTCAGAAGCATAACTCAAGACGGGTCTTATAAGAGTTTTATATCAGAGTAATTTAGTTCTTAATTTTCTTATATTAATTTCCATCCTTATATAAATTCTGCATACAGTATAATTGAACAGTTTATTATTAATGACTGAAATAATAATTACATTAATTATTCTTTAAATTTTCTAATTAATGCTTCGAATTTTTATTTACCTTACAGAAATAAATCAGAGATGGATCAGGACTTGGAGTTTTATCCTGTTGATGATCACCCATCGCCTTCCACATTTACTGCATGGGATGCTTTTCTTGCCGGAAATCAGGCGTTTTTCAGGGAACCCGCGTGCTTAGTGCCCGATCCGGCCTTCTCATACATGGACGTCATCCCCGAGGAAGACGATGACGTCGAAGCTCTTCTTGAGTCGGACACTGACGACACTGGCAGTTCTGTGTCCACAGTCATAGACAGATTTTCTAGAACGAGCACAGCCAATTCCAGCTTTTCTGAAAGGTGCAAAGGATCGTCTGGAGATGTTACATTTGATTTAGAGAAAGTTCTCTCTCCCTTTGAGAGGTAAATAACATTACTGTCTCCTTTAGTGAGTTAAGCACTATTAAGGAAACATTTCAGGAAAAGTTAATTTTCTTTCTTAGGCTAAGTAATGTTAATGAAACAATACTGTCTCCTATGAGAAAATACTGTCTTCTTTTGATAGGTTAGGAAAAATAAAGAAACGATGCCGCCTTAAAATACGTTTTCTTTTGAATGGTTCATATCACTGCGTAGGGCCGGGATAGCCTGGTCGGTAAGGAGCTGGGACCATGTCCGAGAGTTCGTGGGTTCGAACCCCGCGGTTGAAGACTCCCCGAGTAGTAAAATGGTGACTGACGCACGTTAAATCTGCCAAGTTGCAATGTCCTCCATGTTCTCACAACAAATCAATACATAAGAATAAACAAGAATGGACTGAAATTCTTTTTATAGATAAGTGTGATAATAAAGAAATAATACTTATTTGTAGAAAGTACTGGCCTTTTTTATAGGCATATACTACTAAAAAAAGTAGTTGGTTTAAAAGAAGTACTTAAATTCTTTTCAGGTGTAAACAATATTAACGAAATAATATTTATTAAAAGGAAGCATTGTCTTCTTTTGAGAAGTAAATACTATTGGGGAAACAATGTCGCTAAACATTAAGCAATAATATAAAAGGTACATCAAACTACTATTAAAAAGCTTTTTCGATTTGTAGAATATACTATAGCTTTTTATAGACGCAATACAATTCTTTTCATTAAGAAAAGTATTAAAAAACAGTGCACGATGCAGCATTTTTTTAATACTGCATGGAATAAACTTGAATATTGTAGAGCAGAGGTGTCAAACTCAATTTTGCAGAGGGCCATATATTAAATTTAGAACATGTAGGCGGGCCAGATTAAAGTAAAAAAAATGTGCTGAACTATTATAACATTTTATTTATCTAATATTATGGTATATAATATACGGTTGTTAAAAATCATATCAAAGTTATAAAAGATGGTACTAATTATTTTGAGCTCGAGAATCCAGATACCTGACTTCTCTTGTTTTCAGAATGTGTGCTGCATGCTCTTTTAATTCCGGGTAGTTATCTAAACTCTTGAAATATTGTGTATAAAATGTAAGAACGTTAACCTCTTTAAAGTTTTCTTTCAAAATACTGTCCGATTGAAGATTTATCAACTCCATTTGCAAATGAACTGGTGCCTGTGAAGCTTCAAAATTGAATGGATTGTTGAAAATTGGGAATTCCGTTTCATTCATTTTGTGGAAGTCTTCAAAACGATTGTTGAATTCCGTGATCAGATTTTGCAGAAGTTGAGAATACTGATCCAATTTTTTTTGGTTCACTGTGCCAAATGATTTTAAATGAGGGAAATGATCCAAAGTTTGATTTTTTACATGATTTTCCCACAGCCTCAACTTTGTTTCAAAGGCTTGAATACATTTGAGTGACAATCAGATTTTTACCCTGTAACTTTACATTCTGATCAGTCAAGTGTTAATTCATATCTACCAAAAAGACACAATCAATCCACCAGTCATTGTCATAATCAATTGGGTTGCCTTTTTCTTACATGAAAGCTTGAATAGGGTCACGTAACGTAAAAAATCTTTCTATAACTACTCCTCGATTGAGCCAACGAACTTCAGGGGAATAAGGGACATCAAAAAAATTTTCGTCCAAATCTTATAAAAACTGCCTGAACTGTCGGTGATTTATTCCTCGTCTCCTTATAAAATTTACTATTTTAATTATACGTAGCATGACATGGTCCATTTTTAAATGCTTGGATGCCAATGATTCCTGATGAATTATACAGGGAAATCCCACAAAATTCCCTGATGTTTTCTATTTTAATTTAGTTGCAACGCCCGAATGATTGCCAGCCATGGCAGGAGCGCCATCCGTAGTTTTGCTGCTAAGTATATTCCAGTCGAAGATTTCCCCTGTTGCTAAGAAATGTCGTTACTGTCTATCTCCCTCGCTTGTCTAGGCACGCGCTGCCCTTGAAATTACTTATAAATGTATTGTGCACATTTTAAAACTTCCGTAGAGGAATCGAGGGAAGTCTAAAAGCTCTAAAAAAACACGATTCTTCTTTCTGTGACATATCACGATCGTGGGCCGTATTGATACGAACCGGGGGCCGGATGCGGCCCGCGGGCCGTATCTTTACATGACTGTTGTAGAGAGATGTAGTATAGTGTTTGCACCCATTACTAACATGCATCTAAAAAGAGAAACGTGATTTAGCTTTCTCACCTATACTTTTGCATTGTTAGTCTTATTGATTGTTTTAAATAATGATAAAAATATGTAAATTGCATCATCATAATTTTTTATTTACTTATAATTAATTAACATATTTACATCTATAAACTAAAAAGAGATTAAAGCAGGCTCATTGTTATTTTTAAACATTTCAGAGTAACTCTCAAAGCGTTTACCTAACTAATAATTACCTCGATTTTGAAAGACTCTTAAAAACATTTTTAATAACGATTTCGGCACGTTTATAAAAATAGGATATTTATCAAAAACAACTATATTTATCAAATTGTTATTTTTATTACAGGCTGGAAAAAGAATTAGATGCTCATCATATTAAGGATTTTGACCAGTCTTCATTGCCTAAGGATATTCAGAGAGGACCTATAGTGGTCATAACAAATAGCAGCAGTTGTGAAGATGTTCACAGCGCTGGCGAAGATGAGACTCCTTTGGAGACGATTCAGAATTCTTCAGAAAGTGTCAAATCTTCCAATCTCAACGGGAGTGCCGAAGCAGCAGACGATGAACAGAGCGAACCTCAAAATGAAGAAGCAACGATTCCGCAAGAAATAAAACCTACAACTCCGATGCGACAAAAAATGGTCAATGGTGTTAAAAATTCAGAAAAAATAACAACAAAACAAAAAATGCCATGCCTGTCCGCGCCAAGCTTAAAGGCAAAAAAGTCATATCCCACCCCTAGTGTCCCTCCAAGAATGAGCAAGCACCTGCCAGCGCGAAGAACACGTAGTGATCCTGGATCTACTGATCAGCCTTCTCGAATTCCAAGGCCTATATCATCCTCAAATCGGTCGTCATCGAACATTCCAAGTCCAAAAACAAACAATAGAAACAGTAGAAGTCAAAAATTGGGTTTTATGAAGAGACAAGTATCGCAGGAGAATCTAAAATCAACTAAAACCGAGCCATTAAGCAACACCTTCGAGATAACATCGGTTGATACGTCATTCTCAGAAACTTCAAAAGAATCAGAAAAGTCGCCACCCACTTCTCCAGATAATGTAGAAACAGCATCTGACAATAAAGTGGACGATGTTAAAGAAACGAATACTTCACCCATTTTAGAACTAGAACAAAAATGTTCAAGTGATGGTGACCCCGTGGATGAATGTTCGATAAGTTATGCTCCTTCGGAAAGTACATCTAATGATTTCAGTCAATCTATTGCGAAAAATGATTTGGAAGTAACGCCAAATCATTTAAAACAAAATGAAACCAATCCTTTCCGGAATACTGAAGAAACTAAAAATCCATTTGTACGGAAAAATAATCCTTTCGAAGATAATGAAGTAGATGAAAACTTGCCAGCTCTTCCATCAAAAGGGCAAATTTCTGCCGCTCTTTTTGCACCCCCAGTACCAGAACGGTAAGCTCAATGCATTTGTTTTTCGATATTTATATGAATTCAGCAAAAACCAAATTATTTCATTTTTAAACTTTGTTTCAAACAAATAATTTTTAATCATTTCTCAATGTTTCGTTCGACTGTTATTCTTCGAGGCATCAATTCAGATATTGATAGGTCCTATGAACACTTTACAAACGACCAAACTGACCCATAGTGTGTTGTTGCTCGTTTAGATCAACTTCATCTTGCAAATGCATAGTAGGCTTGAGATCTAGGGGAATCAGTAAAGTATAGTCCTCATCTATCTCTTTACAATACCTGAAGCATGACGGGAAGCATTGAAAGGTTTTTTTTATTATTGAGCTAAATTATTCACATTGAAGGATGTACAGTGTTTCCAAAAAAATGGTCCATACTGAATTACTTTTAATTTAATGAGCGGATCTTCAAGTTCTAGGACTCAATCTCAATGTTTTAAAGGGGTGACTTCAAATATGCAAATTAATAAGTGCAGATGATATTTTAAGTTACGAGTTAAGTTAAGTTACAATTTTAAGTTAAGTTATTATTTTTTTTTGGGGGGGGGAGGGATTTTAGATACAAGTTGTAAAAAGGAATCATATACGTCGACAAAACTTTTCTTTGTTATAGGTTTTGTACAACTTTTGGTTTTTGTTATAGGTTTAATAGTTAAGGAAAAATGGTAAAACGTAGGTTAAGTCAAGGGAACGGAACGTTTTAATTTGTTTTAAACTGCTGGTGTACACTTAAAAATTATTTCAAAAACTGGATAACAACTTTTTTTTATATAAAACTGATAGAAATGATTAGCATAAACCTAATTTTAAGACATCACTTTGAAAAATCTTACATTCATTTTTTAAAAAACGTTTCCTTAAAAACCCCAAGTATCATTGTTACATGGGTGGTTGTTGACTTCCACCGGTGAATAGTCGCTTTGGTAAATGTCCGAAATATATACTAGATCTAGTTAAGCGCCTTTGCCCGGTATACCCTACACTGATGTTTTTTCTAAGCTCGAGTGCCACTGCCTAGTATGCCTTTAACCGGTACTACGAACACTGATGTTTCTCTCAATCTATCCTAAGCAGATATTAAAATATCGAATAACTATAATAATATCAAAATCGGATATACCAACTATTTCGGACATTCGCCAAAGTGACTATGTGATTGTTGACATTCACCGGTGAATGTCGACATTCTCTTTATTTCGGTCATTCACGGTAATATCAACACTGTAGTTCTCTACTGGTTTTTGAAGGTAAAAAAGTTTTGTAGGTGTTTTTTAAAAGAAATTATTTTATTACAAATTAAGATGAAGTAATTATTTTCATTTATAAATATAAAATTATTATTTCACGTATATTTTAGAACATTAAATATATGTAACAATAAATACAAGCATGTAAGAGACGATATTATTGTAAAAGTATACCATGCTCTTTCTTTACTTACGTTCAGTCCTTAGTTCGAATAAAGTATAAGCTGATTTAGTCAGGTTTTTATATAGTTTCTGCTCGTTTCAAGAGATGGCAGCACCATAAAAATAAAATCTTCTAAAATATTTTTCTTTTAACTCCAGACGTAGGAAAAGTTTTTATGTCTTTTCCTCTGGTCATAATATGATGTTAATGACTGGATAGGCGCTTCAAGATTGACATCGGAATTTGAAAATAGTCATTTAAACTACCAGTTACATTGTGTTGGAAGGGAAGATAGAGTTGCACCTGCTTTCGCTTTCGGTCACGAGATTAGACTTTAACCAATTGTTTAAAAGGAATTTTTCCTACCTTTAGCTCCACTTTAATTGTTCCCTTGATGGAATAAATAATTATGGAAATGAAATTGCCGGCAATATACATGCATTTATTTTCCCTCCAATTAATGAGACCGTGTTTGCTGCACTTTAGACAGATGAAGAAAGAAAGAAAAAATTAATGTTTTGTTTGAAGAAGTATATTTATTACACATTGACTTATGAGATGAAGTGAACAAGAAATAAATTTATTCGCGAGTTCTATTCTTTTTGTTTGAATATTTCAGCGGTTCTGTTTGTGTAGGCAAGATTTTATTTCCCCCCTCTTCATTTGGTTAGCTTTGTTGCATTAGTTTTTAAATAAAATAATATACAGGGATTTTTTTTTTTGCTGTAAGCTTTTAGTAAAGTAACCACTAGCTAATATTTTACGTAAGTTTCTCCAATAATTGCAGAATTTTGCTATTGGGCAAGCATGTAGCTTTTTAACAAAAAAAAAAAAAAAAAAAAAAAAAAAAAAAAAAAAAAAAAACACACATGTTTCACACTGTTAAATAAAAATGATGGATTCTTAAGGGAAGATGAATGATAGTGTTTTCTTTTATAATTTAATTTATGCTATTAAATTTGTAGTTATAGTTTTATTAATTAAATATTCACTTGTTTCCATTTTTTTTTCTTCTTTCAGTTAAAATTTTAACGCTGAGATTAAGTTCTAATAGGTGCCAAAAACTAAATGAGAATTTAAAGTTTGTGAATGAATTTGCAATTCTGAAGTGGGCAAACTGATTAGGTTTCAATTTTATCTCTTTAGAATTGGAAGCTAAATATGTGGAACCAAATCTGTGATATGAAATTAAAAAAAAATCTTGAGATTTTTTCAATACTTATTCATTTTCGATGTAACAATTTTCGAGAAACAAATCCTTAGTTGCATTCATTTATTAAAACACCCCATGAATTTTTTCTGTAAAAATTTTAAAATAAGACATGAATTTGAACTGCATTGAAGAGATGCTGCACCGAATTACAAAGAATAGAGGAATTTAACCCTCTTACTTAAAGTATTCTCTCCGTCGAGGAATGTCTGATGCAGTGGTCGGAAGTGGAGCACTACTAGTAGTTTAACTATTGTAGTCGCTACTCTTTTTCGTAATTTGTAGTGTGGTGAGCTACTTTTTTTTTAAAAGTAGTGTAGTGAGCAACTTTTTTTTTCGAAGTAGTGAAGTGAGCTACTTTTTTTTAAAGTAGTGTAGTGAGCTATTTTTTTAAAGTAGTGTAGTGAGCTACTTTTTTAAAATTAGTGTAGTGAGCTACTTTTTTTAAAATAGTGTAGTGAGCAACTTTTTTTTTTCGAAGTAGTGAAGTGAGCTACTTTTTTTTAAAGTAGTGTAGTGAGCTATTTTCTTAAAGTAGTGTAGTGAGCTACTTTTTTCTTAAAGTAGTGTAGTGAACTACATTTTTTTTAAATAGTGTAGTGAGCTACATTTTTTAAAAATAGTGTAGTGAGCTACTTTTTTCTTAAAGTAGTGCAGTGAACTACTTTTTTCTTAAAGTAGTGTAGTGAACTACTTTTTTTTAAAGTAGTGTAGTGAGCTACATTTTTTTAAAATAGTGTAGTGAGCTACTTTTTTCTTAAAGTAGTGTAGTGAGCTACTTTTCTCTTAAAGTAGTGTAGTGAGCTACTTTTTTCTTGAAGTAGTGTAGTGAGCTACTTTTTCTTAAAGTAGTGTAGTGCGCTACTTTTTTCTTAAAGTAGTGTAGTGAGCTACTTTTTTCTTAAAGTAGTGTAGTGAGCTACTTTTTTCTTAAAGTAGTGTAGTGAGCTACTTTTTTCTTAAAGTAGTGTAGTGAGCTACTTTTTTCTTAAAGTAGTGTAGTGAGCTACTTTTTTTTAAAGTAGTGTAGTGAGCTACATTTTTTTAAAATAGTGTAGTGAGCTACTTTTTTCTTAAAGTAGTGTAGTGAGCTACTTTTCTCTTAAAGTAGTGTAGTGAGCTACTTTTTTCTTAAAGTAGTGTAGTGAGCTACTTTTTTCTTAAAGTAATGTAGTGAACTACTTTTTCTTAAAGTAGTGTAGTGAGCTACATTTTTTTAAAATAGTGTAGTGAGCTACTTTTTTCTTAAAGTAGTGTAGTGAGCTACTTTTTTCTTAAAGTAGTGTAGTGAGCTACTTTTTTCTTAAAGTAGTGTAGTGAACTACTTTTTCTTAAAGTAGTGTAGTGAACTACTTTTTTCTTGAAGTAGTGTAGTGAGCTACTTTTCTTTAAAGTAGTGTAGTGCGCTACTTTTTTCTTAAAGTAGTGTAGTGAGCTACTTTTTTCTTAAAGTAGTGCAGTGAGCTACTTTTTTTAAAAGTTGCAGTGAGCTACTTTTTTTTAAAGTAGTGTAGTGAGCTACTTTTTTTTAAAGTAGTGTAGTGAGCTACATTTTTTTAAAAGTAGTGTAGTGAGCTACTTTTTTTCAAAAAAAAAATGTAGCGTAGTGAGCTACTTTTTTTTAAAGTAATGTTATGAGTAGTGCGAAACAAAAAAACAGTAGTAGCAATTTCTGAAAACCACTTCAATGATAGTTTAGAATAGAAATGCAGTTCTAATACAGCTAATTTTTCGAATTGGATGGGTACAAATCTTTGCGGGTCCGTCAATGGATGCACTAAAAATGATCCTGTGGCTGCAACCTAGCTTTAACAGAGATTACGTATTTAGAATCACGTGTAACTATTATTTAAACTAGCCATTACGAAAAATAGATAATGTAACACTTTGGTCACACTTTCGCAAAAGACTCGTGAAACAGTGATGTTATTAGGAAAGGAACATATTTTCGATGTACTTCATTTTTTTAGAGTAAATAAAAGAGCATTAAAAAATTTCAAAGAAATTTGATAATTTCGCATTTCTTAAATTAAATATTCGCTGACAGAAAGGCGGAAAAAGTGGAAGATCAAATAAGCAAATAAATTCGAAAAAATGATTTGGAATAACAAACTGGGGTCATGTAAACATGAATAAATATTTCTACATGATTCGTTTACATTTAGTATGAGTTCGTCTCCTTAAAGTGGGGAAGTAGTTACTAAATTTCTAAGTAGTTTGTAGTCACTACATTTAAAAATAAAGCAATTGTAGTTAACTATATTTGTAACAAAGTAGTTGTAGTTTTTCCTTGTATTATGCTTTTAACGAAGAAATATTAAATGTTTGAAGAATGTCAGCACGTAATGGGCAATAGTCTA